TTTTTTTTTTTTTTTTTTTTTTTTTGGACAGGGTATCACTCTATACACTGCAGTGGAATCACCACAGCTCGCTGCAACCTCCCAACTTCTGAGCTCAGGGGATCCTCTGACGTCAGTCTAGGGACTACAAGTGTGCACTCCCACACCTGGCTAATTTTCCCTTTTGTAGAGACAGGGTTTTGCTAAATTGCCCAGGCTAGTCTTGAATGCCTCAGCCTCCCAAAGTGCTAGGATTACAGGCATGAACCACTGCCTCCTGGACTCTATTTGGACTTCTCCCCCCCTAAAAAATTCTTTATCCTCTGGGTCTCAATCTCAGATGGCCCCCAGGAGTCAGGGAGGAGGTAAATATCTCTGGTGAGGGGTAGCAGCCTGTTCTGCCTACAGAGGTGGGGCAGAGACCCACCTGGGGATTTACAGATCCACCAGAATTTCAGCCTGCAAAAGTGCCCTCCCTTAGGAAACAATTGAACCAAATAAAACCTAACTGGGGCTGTATTTGGCCCCCAGGGCCACCAGTTTGCAACCTCTGCTAAATTAGGTGAATTGGGGATGAGGCTTCTGGAACCTCTAAAGAGAATGGGAACATAGAAAGCATTGAGTATCTGACTGAGTGCTTTTTTTATTTTTTGACAAGGTCTACACTAGCATTATGCAATAGAACTTTCTGTAATGTTAAGAATGTTCTAAAATTCTGAACCATCCTGTATGAGGGCCCCGGCACCATATGGCTTTGCATACTGAGAAAATAAATGTTTAAATTTAAGTCACTATGTGCAGCAAGTCAGATTCCTTAAAGAGTCTGAGACCCCAAAATGGTTAAAGCCATAAACTGTCACAGATAAAAAGTTCGTGACATCTGCTACATGCCTTTTCCTACCTATTCATTCATTCAACCATATTTATTGAGCCCTTGTGCTGGGTGCAAAGGCACATCAGTTAGCAAAACATAAGAAGAATCCTAGCCCTTGTGACACTCACCATCCAGTGGGAAAGATAATAGTATGCAAGATAATTGAGTAAACTTTCCACTTATAGGTCAGGTGGTAGAAAACCAAAGAAAGACACTGGGATCAAAATGTGGAGGCTGTAGCCGGGTGTTGTGGCAGACGCCTGTAGTCCCAGCTACACGGGAGCCTGAGGCAAGAGAATCGCTTAAGCCCAGGAGTTGAAGGTTGGAGGTTGATGTGATCTGTGACACCACAGCACTCTACCGAGGGCGATAAACTGAGACTCTGTCTCTAAAAAAAAAAAAA